TACACTTACAAATATCAATTAAGAATGGAAATTGTCGAAAACATCATTGATAATACTTTTATTTTTTCCCAATCCTATACTAATATTCTTAAATGTAGAGCAAACTGTAAAAAAAACGTTTCTTATTCTAAAAAGGATCCTTAACTAGAGAACATGTAAAAGGACGTATAAAAATATGGGTAAGCACTTAATTTCTCAATTATCGAACTAGGATTTTGTATGGTGGACCTTCAGGATTGCAGGGGTCACCTTCTTCGTATAAAATAATGTAATTAGAGATAGATATTAATCTACCTGTTCTATCTGCTGGCATATGTGCTACTTGGCACTCTACTTTGCATGGACAATGTTTATGTTTAATTTCATGGACTTGAGTTGTTAATTACTATAGTATATTCTGATAGTTGGGATTTAATCCTACTTAGTCATATGAATCGAAAGATTCAAACTCATAGCATTTTTAGCTATTTTTTATGTTTGGAGCTCGGGCAATAGTCATTTTTGCATGCTTTCATACTTTGGGAATATAACCCATTAATGTTTTCAGATAAATAGAGCATAAATATTATTTAAGTTACTAAACATTAATAATATTTTCTATATTATTAATATAATATGAGTGGGAGGAAGACAATCTTACCGAGATGCTGGAGATCATTAACAGCACATTGCCTGTAAAAGGCCAAAAAGACTGTTGGGTGTGGAGATACAACAAGGAAGGAGAATATTCTGTCAAAACAGCTTATGGCCTGCTCTCCGGCAACAACATCAGCAACACAATGCAGACACATGCAAGAGTATGGAATAAACTCATCCCCACAAAAGTTTGTGCATTTGGGTGGCAAGTCCTGCAGGATAGAATACCCACAAAACTTAACTTGTACAAGAGAGGAATCATTCTTGACGTGAACCAAGCGATGTGCAGCATATGTGGAGCCAATATTAAAGACGCCAACCATCTCTTCATTCACTGTAGTGTGGCCTACTTGGTAAGAAGCAAATGTGCACAATGGTGGAGACTATTATTGGTTCACCCTATGACCTGCCAGGAGGACTTTCAGCAACACCGTCATCCGTACAAAGACCCTCTAATAAGAACAGGGTGGGATGTAGTATGGTTCTCCATCATGTGGTCCCTTTGGTTGGTTAGAAATGCAAAAATCTTCAAAAATCAACAGTGGGAAGTGGACAGAATTGTTGAACTGGTGCAATTAAGATCCTTTAATTGGATAAAGGGCAGGACAACGGGTTACTCTTTCAATCTGTACGAGTGGATGCTGGAACCAGCTCTAAGCCTCAAAGACAAAAGAGTCCAGCTGAGTTTCAAAAATTAGAGGGCGAACAGTTCCCTGGAAAGCATCATTGAGCAGGTATTTTACTGTAGTGTGAGTCTTAGACCTTCTATTGGTTTAGTCAAGCTGTAGTAAATTCATGCTCAATGTCTCTGCATGCCAGTGGGTTGTTTTGTGGAAGTTTATTTGATGATCAGAACAGGGTGCTCGAAGTAAACTGCAACGAAGGACATTAATTCGACACGGGTATAGTGTCGACACTTGTTTAGAGTGTCGACACTATTGGGCAGGGCTAGTTATGCCTCCCAAATTTTGTTGTTTTAAGGGTTTGAAGTACCCCTTGTACTCCGGTTATTAATATATATCATTTTGCTGTTAAAAAAAAATTATTAATATAATATATTATAAATACTATTTAAATGACTAGACATTAATTTTCAAAATCAATTGTTAAAATGATTTTATATTGTGCTTGCTTGTATTTTACTTT